CTGTACCAACCACAGCGCCCACAAACAAGAAACTGGTTACTTGTCTCACGCTGTACATTTTCAAAATAATCTCCAGTGGTATGTTATCTTCAAGAACATAAAGTTTTCTTTATTATTAAACACCATTTCCATTTCATGTGGATACAAAATTAAACTCTAAGCATAAACTTGCAAGCATTCTTTAAAGGCCAGTCTCACTGTACTCAACCTTTACACAGAGACCCCATTGTCAACTAGGTTTTCTGTGGTATTTTTAAAGTTACAATAATGTCTGCAACATCCAATTCAATGGTTACTGTATTAAGTTTTATAGCTGGTCAGTAATAGTTTTGTATATTGCAAAGAAGTAATACATATACACTCTCAGGGCTCCTCCTGAATATATGTGCCTGTATATATGTATATAGTGTGTATATATATGTACAAACACACTTTTCCCTTTTTTTTTTTTTTCCCCCCCTCCTTTAAAAACACAATAGTTTCCATGTTGTGCGAAAATTCACTGGCTAGTCAATCATATAGACTAAGGCAGCATTGTAATTTGCTAACCATAGAGTTTTCTAGAAAGATTTTTTGAAATGTCTGTTTATGAGAGAAAGAGCAAGAGAGGGCAGACATGATTAAAAACGTCATTTTTCCTAATTTGACTTTTTTTCTAACTTAGAACACTGTAGTTTCAATATGTCTGAACACATCAGAGGTTTATAGCCACAAACAAAGTATTTGCATATATTTACGTCAGTATATTAAAAAATTTGCATTACATATTACAGAGGTGCACAAAGCCTAGAAGATATGAATCAATTTTTTTTGGTTAATCCAGAACCGTGGATATACAAATCTCTGAGAATACTAAATATGTAGATCTAGTGCTATAATATTATGGGGTCACAGCTACTCACATAAGATCAAACGATGAATGATCAAAGAGTAAAGATACAGCAATGTAAGTTTTGAATCTTAGAAACCACACAATTTGGGCAATTAGATACTATCAGCATCTTCTCTCTCTGCCTCACATTTGCAATCACTGGAGGAGTTGCAATGCAATCAAACATTTAAGGCAAACGCTTTACTTTCTGTATGAATGCGCTTAAACAAACACAACAAAAAACCCAACAACTTGATGACTCCCATCCTCCACTCACTGATGCATATTTTCACACATGGGCAGATTTGCCACCCTGTTTATTCACCAGTAATTCTCACTCTGCTCCACGCTATAATCCACCAAAAGGTCATCTTCCATCCATCCACTACAAGCTACGTGTATTCTTCCATGGCCAATTTGTCGGGGTTTTTTGCCCAGCATTGACCTTTTGTTTAAATAACTTCCTTTACTCCTCATTACTGACAACAGCTTACTCTTCCCCTTCCTCCCCTCCCCTGTATCTCCACAGAAAATGATCCTTTGCTTCACTAGATGAGATGAGCCAAGCACTTTCAGTCACCCTTCACAGAAATGACTTTCTTTCCCTCAGTCATCTTTGCACCTACTACTTGCCCCATTCCAGGCTCAATTTGTATTTCTTGAATACGGACGACAGATCTGTAGGCAGAATTTCCAGATGACGTCTCAGAGTTGGTCGGATGACGTGAGTATTTCCATATCACTAGTGAAAACGCTCTCCGGTTGCCCTGTAGGACGACACTGCTCACTCTTTTACTTAGGCCCATCCAGTTGCTTGTGATCAGAGTGAACAAGGAACATGATGACAATTAGTCACTTCCAACTGATAAGCTCCTAGTTTACCGGGTTTTTTTTTTTCAATTAGCCTCCAAGTGCTTTTGTCCTATTAAATTTAATCTCCTTTGTGCTACTGCAGTCTTCAAGGTTATTCTGCTCAAGACTTCAGATTTCAGAGAAATCATATATTTGCCAATAGAAGTTTTCCGTTAACTGCTAAAATAGGAGTCTCAGTAACTGTAAGTAATTTTAATAAATGAAATGTGTTAAAATGCACTTGTAAGTAAGCATGGGATAGTTTCCTATGCAAATTTCATGTAGTGGGTTTTTTTTTTTTTTTTTTTTTTTAAATAAAGAGGTATGATACTATAGGTTTTCCCCGTATCCATTAAGGCCCTTAACACTTAGGAATTTAGTAAAAAAAAGTTATTTTTAGCCTTAGTTTCTTCCATTTGCCAAATAAAAAAAAATATGCTAAAAGAATGCATTCCTTCCAAGGATACTATCAGTAAAAAAATTTAAAAGTTAAACTTTAAATATATTATCTCAGCTTAAAACAAAAAAGAGTAGTTCACTGGATAAAGCTGTTTTCATTTCATATAGGAAATTGCTATCTGAAGTAAGCTTTATGAACTGCGACAAGTTCCTAGGCAGTGTGTATTAAAAAAGTAGAAATGCTGAAACAACCGTAAGTCTCAAGAACACACCAACCTGAGATAGCGTAAGGCGTCAATAAAGAGCTGGCTCTGCTGCGAGCTTCAGCAATTCCCCTCACATCAGGCCTCCGGACTAGGGAGGTGTTCAGAGAACTGTAACAGCACTTCTGCAGTAAGCCGTGACAGCAAAAGCAATGAGAGCCGATTCTCAACTGGCGTAAGTTGTAGTAACTTTAAAATATGCTAATTTATGCCTAATAAGGACCTATGTCATAGCATCTACATTAACATGCCTTATTAACGCATGCTTAGTACGCTAGCAAATTATAACCAATTATCCTATTTTGGAAGTGCATTTCATGGAATAAATCTGATTATATTCATTATATTCTTTGAAATTCTAGTCTGGTTAGATTTTTGGGGTATGACCATTTTAACGCTATCTGTGAAATACTACGTCCCAATAACAAGGATTCCCTGCAACCCTTTCGTGAATCTGTTTAAAACTACAAACATAGTCAGTTATTTGTCTAATAAGGACCAACGCATACATTCTGATGCAATTTACATAGCAGGGTCTGACTTCTGTCATCTGTAGTGTTTGAGTGACATTCATAAAGTATAGCACAGCTCTGGCTTGCTAAAGAATTCTATTCATCTTTTTAAGCATGACAACTGACAATTAAGCACTCAAAACAGTATTAAAACAGTATTTGCAATAAATCATCCAATAGGAGTAGCATTCTCGTTTAACACAGTCACTCTGGAATATTAAACTCAGTTGATTCAGCAGACTGAGTGGTTACTTCTTAGCAAGTATCGCAATTGTTTAAAAGAGAGGATTATTTTTTTTCAGACACAAGCTACATTATTTCATCTGCAGTCTTCCTGTCCAGTCCAAGTTTGATGAATTTCCTTTCACGTATGTCCAAATAAAACTCGAATTTTACCGTCTCTGGATTTTATCTTTCTTATTTATTATGTTGAGTTTCTTTGTTTTGTATCCTGCATAAACGCACAGAACAGCTGGGGGACAAGTGATAAACTTCAGTATCAACTGGATGGAAAAAAGAAAAGAGCATTGTGGAAACACTTCTCCAGCCCTAGTTTCAAAGGGATTACCTGGATATTTTAAAATCACATCATGAAGCTCCGTAAAGGGAAGTGTAGAGTCCTTCCCCTGGAGAGGAATAACCCCATGCACCAGGACAGGCTGGAGGCTGACCTGCTGCGGAGAAGACTGAGGGGGGATTTGATCAACGTGTGTAAGTATCTGAAGGGAGGGTGCCAAGAGGATGGGGCCACACTCTTCTCAGCGGTGCCCAGCAATAGGATGAGAGGCAACGGGCACAAATTGAAACACACAAAGGTCCGTCTGAACATGAGGAAAAACTTCCTTATTGTGAGGGGGACTGCACAACAGAGCAGGTTGCCCAGAGGGGTGGTGGAGTCTTCTTCCTTGGAGACGTTCAAAAGCCGTCTGGACACAGTCCTGGGCAAGGTACTGTAGGTGACCCTGCCTGAGCAGGGAGGTTGGACTAGATGATGTCCAAATGTCCTTTCCAACTGCAACCGTTCTGCGATTCTGTGACATGTTATTTTCTGGTTTCCCTTTAGTAATGTTATTAATACCCTTAATTTATTTAGATCCTTCTAATGCATTTATGATAGAAGTAATCCACAGTACCTCACAGCAAGGAGGTCAGTACTCATAGCACAGAGCTGCAGATTAAGCCTCCAAGCACTTTATGCTATATATTTTTTACAGAGCCTTCCAATCATAACATCTTTCTCTTTAGCTTAACAGGGGACGGGGGGCAGGGGTGGCAGAGGGGAGAGCTCTACCATTTTGGACTAGACCTACAGGCTACTTAGGTCAGTTTTCTCCCGTAGTACAAGTGCCAGAAGAACATGTCAAACGGCAACACTAAGCAGACAGAATAGCCTCTCTCATTTAGGTCTTGTTTAAACCCTTTTAGTTAAGGGCCTGCTAATTTTTAAACATTGAAGGTTTTATATCTATCCCCTCCAAATTTATTAGCATTAACTCTGAGCACTGCTGTTATCCATGTAACCGTTCACTGCCTTTTTGAACCTTGAAAAATTACTGTACTCAATGAAATCCTGTAACAGCTAGTTTCACAGCTGAATCATCTTATTTAAAATTAAATTTCCTTATCTCAGTTTTGGATGTGCCAACTTCCAAATATCATCCTATTCTAACGTGGCCTGGCAATCTACCTTCTCTAGACCATTTCTTGTCACGTGTTCTTTTGCCACATCTTAAGCGTGAATAAACCCATCTATTGTACGCACGTGAAGAATAATTACAGATTCTTAAATCATTTTGAGGTCCTTGTAAGAAAAAGACATCATCAAAGCACAATTCTCTTTGCTAGGTAACATCCTACCTGTTTCATAGAAATGCGTCAAGAGATCCTCCTTTTCAATGAACCGTTGATACAGCCAGTGCGTAAGAGCTTCAGGCTCTGCAGGTACATCTTTAATTGGAAAAATCCTATGAGAGAAACAAACATAATTAAATCTAGGCAATGCATTCCGTATGTAAAAAAAAAGAATACTGCTCCTGCCCCAACTCACCATAAAAATATAGAGCAAGAGTCTGCTATAAATCTGACTGTGTGGTTCATTCTCCCTGATTCACAGACCATATAAGTGTCAATGAAACAAAATCGGAATGTTCTAGGTTACCAGTCAGAGGCACGCAGAAGAGGTAGGCATTATTAGCTGCTACCAAATGCAGTGCTACACTGAAGCCATACACAGAAGCTGCGTATGGCTCCCCTCCCTTTTTAAAACAGAATAGCACACTAAATTACTATCCTTAGAAATGCAAACCAAAAGCAAAAGAAATAAAGACTGAAGGTTCATCCACTATTTTGAAGAAATAGTTCTTCAGTAGGCAGAAGGTATGTAATACCTCCATGCTTTTCAGAGGAAGCCACCATCTTTCCCTGACACTTCTAAGGCACGTTTTACATTGAAAATTGACAACATATGTAAGCGTACTCAAATATTACTGCTGTATTTTAAAAAAAGCTAAGGGAAGAACTACAAACATTTTTATACTTCTCCACTTAAAATTTTCTGTTCAGAAAAAACATAGATGCCCAAGCAAGAAATCATTAAGATACAGGCAAAACTCCCCACCCCGAAACAACAAAAGAAAACCCTAAAACCAACCCACTATATCTCAATGGATTAACAACAACAAAAAAAGTTGTAATTATAAAAAAAACCCTCAGTGGACTCTTAGTGCCTTTTGACTTCTTCTACACATCTCTGCTGTGCTTCATTGGGAGGCCAGTGCGTAAGAGATCTGCATATCAGGCTAGCCTGAAAAATTCATACTCTGAAATGTAAGACCTTTACTGCAGGTTTCTCTTTTCAGCTGACCTCTCATTCAACCTGTCATCTATGCTATGCTTCTATTTTCATTAGTGAATTTTTCATTTCTTCTTAAACATGGGCTTGATTGATTATACTGAAAAAACTGAGATAACAGTACAACCACGGGAAAGCGTCTGAACAGATAAGGGAATGGCAGACTATAGAAAAAAGGGGACGCTTCTGAAGAATGCCACATTTCAATGCCGGGTCATTCAAATCTCCCCCTTTCACCGTTCCTCTTCTGCCTCCTCTGCCCAACTGATGTGAGCTCAGACAAAACCAATAAGACGTCTTCCAGACACAAAATTCACTGCCTCATTTCTCCCAGCATTAAAAGGAGCCTCCCTTCCTCCTCCTTTTTTTTCCTTTTTCTGTTAACTGTAATTTCAGTAAGACATTCAACTCAGCTTATCGTTTGATTTCGCCTTCCCCCAATGTCTGGCACAAAGCCAACATTTCCAACATCAACCATCTCCTCTGCAATAGCTTAACACAGCACAACCCTGCTCTTCAGTAACAAATTCAACGTACGTAGGTGTGTGTCACTCTATAGCAAACAGAGCATAGCTTATCCCTCTTTCGTGGAGGGGTAAACTGTCACACGTGTTTACTGTGGCACACACAAAAAGACACTGGCCATCTTTAGCACTTGATCAATGTAGGTAGGTAAGTAGGTAGAAGAGCTGGGAAATCCTATACATGGAAAAATAAGCTACAAGTGGAGGAGAAAAAGCAAAACATTGCTCTAATGGATGAATTTAAAATAATGGTGCTTCAAATACAGGGACAACTGCAGTATAAAATGAACAATCTTTTTTTCATTTTTCTTTTTTTAAACCAACTAGGACATACAACAGAACTGAAATAATTCTTTAGGAGTCTTTGTGGCAACTCTACCTACATCGCTATCAAACCGTGGAGTTTTTTGTACTATAGTAAAGCCAGTCTCAATACACACAAATTAGCAACTGTCATCTTAGGTAAATTATAGTTTGAAGAAAAGGGTTTTTGGCCAAAAAGAAAGATTATAAAACAGTTCATGTTCCAGTAAATAGCTCAAACCCTTGCCTTGCCTATTAAGAAAATAACAAAAGAGGTAATACAGCACTATATTACCTTGGAGCCCAGATCCCATAAGGCAGATCAAAATGGAACAATGGACATTCAAAGTAAGAAACAAACACTCAACCCACAAAGCAGGATTCATCTTTGTCAAGAGTATAACATTAAAACAACTCTCTGCCCCGACATGGAACCAAGTTCCCAAGCACTATTTTTACTTTCTTCTACCTATCCGGTGTAGGAGACAAAAGGATGCAACAACTGAATATGGCGTTTCACAGTGTATTTTTGAAAGACAGATGCTTGCTTACGCAGCTTGATGGTGGTCCAGAACTAAGAGAAGTACGTGTGTGGGCTCAGTGCAGAAGTTTTGCATCACCTGACTGCACACTCGCTTCCCATCACAAGCTGCAGACACTCTTTGCCTCCACCTTCACTTCTCAGTTACCTAATAGCTCAGTAACCCAATTAAGCTTGGCATTTTTTTCCAAGAACGTGCCCGCTAATCTGAAAACGTTACCAGAAGAGCTAACAAGATACTCATGAGAAACTAATTATGAGGTGGCAATTTAATAGGGTAGCAAAGTAGCATGAGTGACAGTAATATTGTGGGACTGGATCACTGAATAGAAAGTCTACTACTTAAAGTTTAAGAACCCATCACAATTACATCCATTTTGAATGAAACTTAACGCAGGGCAGAAAACAACTGGTGCTCCAGCAATGCTATGCTGGCTGTCATCATTTCTTAATGGTAAGTGCTAGTATACTTGAAGTATTTTCAAGCATATTTTTAGATTATCCAGAGTTATTCTTACTAGCTGAATTTCACGTTAGTAACTGAGCCAGATTAGAGATAAAAAGTCCAAAAAAACCCCTTGCACTCTGGAATAAGCCCTTTACTGTACCAGATGAGGTGAAGGTAAAAAGCCCTGTATTTATACTAAACATATAGCCACTATCATCGTCTGCCCATCGGATGGCTCCTTGAGGACCTGTGCTTTATAAGAGTACCCTCACTAAGGAGATTGGGTCCAGGGATGGCAACTGAGAAAGCCTAAAGTTACAAAAATCTCTACACAGACAATCCAAAACAAAGGCTGAGAGCCACTGCACCATTAACAACTCAGCAACCATATTCATAATGAAGATAACGATAAAAAATTCTTACCTCTCTCCCTCTCAATACATATAAAGGTATATACACATATACAGACACTCCTACACTGATACTTTTCTTACCCAAAAAACAGGAAGTGAAGAAAGTAATTTTAGTTCTACTTCATACTATAAGTCTGAAAAGATCTTCACCTCAGCTTAGGCAAATTTTTTTTTCCCATAAAGTTTTCAGAATATTTCTCAGATTAAAGACTAAACAGTGAACAAGGTTTGCTGTTAATATTTTCCTTTGAGCTTCAGCAAAAGGCAGAGGTATCACCTTTTTCATCTGCAAGACCTTAGGGAAACCCACTGTCCCTAAAGCCGTAGCCAGACCTTTAACAAGGAAAGGACACACAACCAGGGGAAAAAAAACAAAACCGAAGAACAACCCACCCTTCTGTCAGATACTAAAAAATAGGATTTCAATAACTGATTCACCATGAAACATCTGAATCAATCAGTTTCTTCAGATAACAGCTGAAGCACTGACCCAGCAGCCTCTCCAACATTTTCTAGCCTTTGCTTGAGGAGACAACGTTAGAGCTCGCCTCCTACCGCCCGCACCACAGCGCACCAAAACTGAAGCTTCCCTTCGCGGGGATTTCTCCGACTCTCCCCAAATTCACCGAGATGGGCATGCAGTAGGTCATGACACATCTGAAAAGGGGTGAAAGTACTTTGTAAAGGACTTGGCAAGCAGCTATTTTTTCTAATTTCCAAAACATGCAACAGCTATTTAGTGCCATCCTGTTAGTGTTACCATGATAACGAACAACCTCTACTGTTCTTGTTTCACGCAGTAACATTCTCTTCAACCTTCATATGAGTGTATGCATGCAGACAAAAGCTTACCACAAAATTACTTTTGAGATCCCCACAAGTTAGACAGCATGAGAACCAGTCCTGTGCTGCCTTCCCCAAAGACAGAACGTGCTCTGGAAGAGCCACAACCCACCACCGGTGAACACTTTACCTTCTATAGCACACTGTTGGTTAGTAGAAGTTTTAAAAAAATGAATCCAAGAAGTTAACAATGGCTCACAGGGAAGGTGATGCCATGGACTTCTAAAGTGACTCAACAGAAAAATGGTCTTTCATTGTCTTTGGCTTTAGTTTCGCAGAGAAAACCAACTCCTTAAGGGCCTGCTCCATTTGACTGTGCTGCACGTCATGTGCCACACACGCACAATGCACCCAAAGCAAGGACTCCTGCGACATTCTTCCAAACCCTTTGTTATAAAAGAAAATGATACATCAAGAAATACAGGATTATTTTTAAGCCAGTTTAATTTGAATTCTTGTATTCCTCACATCTGAAGTTATTTGCTCTCATGCAAGCCAACAAGAATGTAAATCTTAAAGGCAGCTGTCCTAAGTTTTGAAGAACACATAATCTTCAGAAGTAACTCTCTCATACCAGACCATCTAGCAGCTGTCTGAAAACAGTGGTCTCGCCTGCCACAACGCTGCACTCTGTCTACAGGCACTACGATCTTCCATCCCCTTCAGGTGTCCTGGGTTTTCTTTCAGTTACAGAGGAAAGAATAAAATCGAAGAGAAAGTGGAAACCCACGTTGTACTGACAATTTTGCCACTGTTATGTCAGCAGTATTTGTGTGAACCAGTAATTACATGAAGGCTGCAAACCACCTAAAACAATTAACATGGTCCCATGCCATATTTTTATATGTAAAAAGAATGAAAGAGCCAGAAGAGTTTTATGGAAAAACACCTAATTAAAACACCTCTGCCAAAGTATGCGTGGAAAGATGGGGAAAAGAACTGGAAGAGAGAATGAGGATAGTTTCCTTAAAGTCTACTATTTCACACCAATTTAAATGATATGTTTCAGTTATCTCAAGATAAGGAACTCTTCCCCTCGAT